ATTCAAATGAAAATATTTACATTGAAAAACAATTTAATAGAAATTTCAATGAAAATGATTTTAAAAAAATTTGTATTGATTATCAAATAAATCCGAATCACATGAAAGAATATTTAAGGAAAATAAATTTTATTAATGAACAAAAATTGAAAAAATATATTGAAGATATTCAAATGCCAGATCGTGAACAGTTTTGGCAATTAATGATGAAACAAGGAATTATTACAAATATTAAAAGTTTTATTTTGATTAATATACAAGAAACAAATAATAGTAATTCTAAATTAAAAAAATTTATTGATACATTAGGAGAAGAATTAAAACCAATTCATGAAATTAAACCAAATGATAAATCAATAGTATTTTTTGGGAAAGTCAAATTTGATGCAGAAAATATGAAATATGTTTACAGATCTCTCGCTAAAAATTATCAAATTCTAGAAGAGTAAAACTTATTTTTTCAAACAAAATAGCAACAATCAATATCGATAGACTACGACATAGATCCATAGAGCAATTCGAATCGATTACATCAGATGCTTTTCTTGAAATTGAAGGTTTAGATATAAATGATTCAAAAGAACTTTATAATAAACTTGTTGAACAAAAAATAATTGACAAACAAACTGGGACACTTCTTACAACTGATTTACAGAAATTAAATTTTGATAAATATCAAATTTATGATCAACGCATAATTACAATTATAAATTGTCGCTGTTTATATAAACTTCAAATTCTAGAAATATTACAACAAATAGAATTTCAAGATTTTGATTCTATTCATTTAACATTACCATATAATTTACATAAAGATCTTCTACTTGATTTTGAATCATCATTAATAATCAAACCAGTTTATTATAATTATAAAAAAATCAATGTTTCTTTCTGTGAAAAATTCTTAACAAGAGATTATTCATATAAATTAGAACAATTAATAAAAACAACATGTAATAATGAAGAAACTATTTGTAAAAGTATTGCAAAATGAAGATTTTTGGTTCAAGACTCCAGCTTCCAGAAAGATTTTTCCCCGAGTAACGCCGTGACAGAAAAGATCCCTATTTTTTGAGGACTCCTAATACAGCTCTGATTCCCTGCGAATTCGGCTGTGCATCTGAAAAGTTTCTAGAGGCAAGTCTGTAGAGGAGTGGTTAGTGCAGTTAAAAAACTATAAACTTGAGTAATACCATATCCTGCAAGAAATTTAATACCAAAACTAAGCAATTTAACGTCAGCTTGTTGATGATGTCCTTGTGGATTAACACGTGTAACGAATGACAGTGTTATTAAAAGATACACTTCGTATACCATGTTATTTATTTACATGTCGAGCATTCAAATCATTTGATTCATCGATATATATTTAAAAGAATAAATAAATATTTAAAAACTAATAATAAACTTCCGGTTATACCTGCCTTATCTGTCTTATTAAAACGATTTTTGATACTAGTTCGTATGATTCAAAAGCTCTACATTTAAATACAGAAAGTGGTATGCAAAATGAATCTACCATAATCGAATATTTCTGCCTACTATTCATTTATATTACTTCTATAATCGACGGAGAAATCGATCACCTCGTTTGTTTGCGTTAATTACTGATATTTATACAGCAATGATTTGTTCACGAAATCAAAATAAAGCAGAAGTAGCTCATGTTAAAATAAGTTGGATTTTTGATCCGTTTGAAATTAATAGCATAAGTTGATATGAGACAAATAAGCATAAAACAGATCGAAAAGTCCGGTATTACGACGGATGAATCTGACTATGTCTCAGATCAATATTCGTATGTCGTCTTAATACCAGATGGAGCTTTTTTATTGTTTTATCGTTTCTTCCATTTTAATTGTTAATATAATTTCGTTTGTTCAAACATAAAATACTGTTGATTTTTTCTTCTATGAAGATGAGTTTTGTTCGACAAATTATAATTAACATTAAAAACGACCAAAAGCGAGTCATGTAGTTTTAATATTTCATTAACCGAGCACTTTCTAATTCATTCAGTTTTCCAAAATTTCCTTTTATTTGTAAAAAAAGTTAAATGTACAACAAACGAGTTAGCCTTTCAGTCACCAGCTGAGGGATGTTTCGCTATCTGCTTCATGTGTATCTGTTTTAGTGGATAAATTTTCCTTTATCGAGTACACTAATACCTTATAGTCTTTTTGTTCAACAACAGCCATGTATTGC